ACGCAGGAAATCCTGCTTTCTAGCAAAGTTAAACCGTGCAGCACAGGTGATCATCAGATCGTAGCTTTTTTAAAATACCGGTTCGCCCAAACCAGTAAATTTTTAAACACACAGCGCACATTTGGTGTGCACTGCGCATGCGCACACAGTGCGTGTTTGGTGCGCATTGCGCATGCAGCATGCATTTTGTGTGCAATGCACATGCAGTGCACATTTGGTGCGCACTGAACATGCACATGGAGTGTGCATTTGGTGCACACTGTGCATGCGCATGCAGCATGTGTTTGGTACGCACTGTACATGTGCATGCAGCACACATTTGGAGTGCACTGTGCATGAGCACGCAGCACGCGTTTGGTGCACACTGTGCATGCGCACATAGCATGTGTTTGGTGTGCACTGCACATGTGCATGCAGCGTGCGCTTGGTGCGCATTCTGCATGCCCAGCCAGCAAACCGGTAGCAAACCGATTCAGATTTCACCCCTGCTTGTTGCCAGAAGATACTTGCAGCTAGCCTAGAAAGTATGATGAATGCATCTCCAATGAAAGATAGTTCCTCCCCTAGTTTAAAGGATCATTTTATTAGGTCTTTGCTTAAGAAGCTCACCTTAGATCCATTAGTCTTGGAACTTACAGATCTGTTCCTCAAGTCTAGGTAAGGTAAGCAAGAAGGTGGTAGCTGATTGGCTTCAGGCAGATCTAAATAAAATAGATTAGCAAAACCCATTTCAAATTTGTTCAGAGGAAAATATAGAGGTGATACTACCTGAGTCAATCTAATTATTATCTATGATTGGAGAAAGAACTCCATTGATTCTCATAGATTTTTTAGCACCACCGACCAAGATATTATTCTGGGCAGCCTAGTAGGTTTAGAGGGACTGCCCTTTGGTCATAGGGGTTCCTTTCCTGTCTGCCTCAACATCTCGCTTAAGCACTGCTATTCCACGTAGCAGAAATTGTTTGTGGAATCCCCACAGGCTTTGTTTGTCCTTGATTCTTTTTAATATATACAGTAAATGAAACTGTATATATGTATTCAGTATATGTATACTGAAACTGTATAGATTCTTTTCTATATACCAATATCATTAAGCAATTGGTATAGATCCTCTTAGTGTTTGCTTATGAATAACATTGGGTTAGATGATGGTAAATATATTGAAAATGAATGTAGATAAAACTGAAAAAGTTACTTCAAAAAGGGATATTATAGATCCATGATAAATTCACCTATTCTGGATAAGCTATACCTTTCTATACAATTTGGGAATGATTCTAAAACAGACTCTTTGTAATTGTTCAGGTGGAGTTGGTGGCCAGAAACTCTTTTTATCAATTTCAAGTGGCACACCACTTGCAACCATTCCTAGATAATAATGGCTTAAAAATAGTAGTACTCTAGACTTGACTTTTATAATTTATATTTTACACACTATGTTATATCAATGTTATAATGCCACACTGGCTGACAATTCATTTTAGGGTAGAATATAAGATGCTATTCCTAAAGTCCTGAATGGCTTTGGCCTGGGATATCTAAAAAAACACCACCTCCTTCAAGGTTTATATTGCCTCTTGGAGTCACTTGGGAAGAATGATTGGAGATAGCCATATGTGAAACTCACTCCCCAGGAATATGGGGTCACCCATCCACCTGGTACATCTTTTCCAATTGAGTTTTAACAATGTCTAATTGCTTATATTATTATGAGATTTGCTGTTTTAGTAAGTTTAATTTGACTAAACCACCAAGCTGCTTTGGGAATGATCATCTTTGAAAAAATCAGATGAACAAACAAATAATGTAGATCCCCTGACAGCATAATCTTAATGTATTTATACTACACTGAACATCTAAATCTAATTGTATACACTATTATATCTTAATAGCTTATAGGCTGCCTTGATGCTTAAGATTCAATTAATCCTTAAATTGTTTGGCTTAGCAATTAATTTGTGGAGGAAGTTGATACTGACATCTTAATATGCAAATGTATAATACTGAACATTTTATAACAGAAATGGAAGAAATCTGTAACAGTTAAACTTGTATACATTATCTTTTCTGAGTTAAATTGTATGATAATAACTCTGACATTTAATAGCAAAGGAAAGGGCTGTACAGACAGTGATGAGTCTAAAATCTTTTCACTTACTGTAAATATTTTTCCTATGCTTATTCTCGAGTGAAAGTATAATATTGAACTGACCTTTTTTTCCTAATAATGTGAATTAATGTGATGTTGTAGGATGTCTATGGTAACTTTTGATAAAACTTTATTAAAAGCCCTTTATTAAAATTTGTTAATCAGAAAGGATGCTATCAGATTCCTTCTAATTTTATTTGTTGATGTGCAAGAGAAGGAATGGGACAGCTACATGAATAATGCATTATTATTTAATTCTGAACCTCTTGGCTGTACATTAATATCTCAAAATGTCACAGGGGTGGAAAAACAATGACAGTTCTGAAAATTGGTGTAAGATCTATTGAGAGTTGACGGTATCATTTAATTCTTGAGAAATATGTCAGGAGCTGGAATGTGCGAGGAAAATAGATGAGGCCAAAATAGTTGTAATTATACTTACAAGGTATACATGTGTACACTCTCAGCACACCCATACAATCCTGTTCACATTCACACATACATGCATTCATAATCACCATTAAATTGTTTTCCTACAGCTACCTCTAAGATCACTTTACTCTGCCTCAATATACCATTGATTTATATCTTTCAATCAATTATTCCTCTTCCATTGTTTGATGTTATAGTTTCTGGTTGGTTGATTGGTTGGCTTTCTAATGATTCTGAAAACCCTGAGCCTGCAGAACATATTTCTGCAGCCAGGAAGAGGTCAACTAGTCAGAGGTCAGGAAGGAAGGAACAAAGAAAGGAAGAAAAAGAAAGAAAAAAAGAAAGAAAGAAAAAGAAAGAAAGAAAGAAAGAAAGAAAGAAAGAAAGAAAGAAAGAGAGAAAGAGAGAAAGAGAGAGAGAGAGAGAGAGAGAGAGAGAGAGAGAGAGAGAAAGAAAGAAAGAAAGAAAGAAAGAAAGAAAGAAAGAAAGAAAGAAAGAAAGAAAGAAAGAGATTTCTTTTTTAATGCAGGGAGAAATCTGCATTACTGCTGGGAAAGAATAAATTAAACCGAAGAAAAGCTTTGACTGAACCTCGGGCTTGGGTTATAAATCAATGCATTTTCCAAATTTATTCAGCTATTGAAATAGCCACTACAGTTTATGGTTTGAAGTCTCCTGAATGTAAAATAAATGAATGAATGAATGAATGAATGAATGAATGAATGAATGAATGAATGAATGTTAATATGTGAAAATGTCAATATATCTGTATAATATATGTGTCAAATATAGGCCACATTAGCTATAGAGTGATAAAACTATAAGCATTCTAGATTTAAAAAAAATTGCTTAGCCAGGAACATAGAATTAGACTGAAATCTGTGAACATCTAGATTTGATTCTGTAGTCATAAAGACATGATAGGACTTGATCCCTGTTGTGATGGATGAAGGAACTTGGATTCAGTGATCTCCACAAATTTCCTGACTATCTGCTGGACAACTCACAATTTATTATTTTCACAGTGTTAACAAAAATCAGTTAAAGCCAACAAACTCTTGCATTTTGGTTAATTTGATAACATGGATGTTAACAGCTTGGTTTTCAAGAATTTTTTGGTGAGATGATAATCATATTTCTTACTTGATAGTTCAGTTCTGTTAACAGATTTATATGAAGGTATAGGGGAAAAAATCCACTCAGAGGTAGGCAAGCTGTGGCACTTCATACACTATTGAGCTACAAGTTACTGAAATTAAAGTCTAATCATAATTTGAAGACCACATATTACCAGTTTCCACCATAGATAGACAATTTTAGTAGCTGTATATCAACATAGAAAACAGAAATAGAAATGTAAAAGAAAAAAATGGGGGAAATATTCAAAATACTTTTCACCATGGCAATGGAAAGATCATTCTGAAACAATGCATATCTGATCAAATGTTCTAAAAGTTTCTGTCATGAATGATATCTTTGTGAAAAGTATTTAACTTCAGAAAGTAGCTTACACCTGCCACTAATTTCTCTTTCTCTCTCCTTGCAGTTTATTGATGAATGGTCAATACTAATGAATTTTGGCATTTCCTGGATGATCATAATTATGGCTGTGTAATTCACAAAGCTGCTTGGCTAGATATTCAGCAGGTCCTTTCAGTTGTTGTTTCCATTAGCCAGGCAACCATCCCCAAAGAGACCAAGAGGACTCTTTCTGTGTATTTAATGGCCTCTCTCTGATTTAATTGTCAAAATTCTGGTTACTCTACATGGCAAGTATTCCAGAAAGAATATATGACATAGAACAGATGGGCTGCTTGCCTTCTCAGTTTAAGCCCCCATTTTATGTGTTTAATCAGTTAAATTATGCTAACGATATTAATATGACTGTAATTGTTAGACTATAGTATAATTAATTGGGGAGTTGACAGTTTCTTTGGAGCCACAAATCAGCATCCAGGAATCACTCTAAATTTTTATACAAGTCTATGTGAAGCAAAATCATTGTACGCTATAGTGATAATGGTGAGATCCTTATATCAAGGCCTTTGTGATGAGAATGCCAGTTCTATCCTCCTTTTACTCTCTATAATTCTCTTTTGTGTAACTTTGAAAATGGAATTTATATTCGTTGGAGAATGTATAATACAATCTAATCGGTATAACTCTTTTTAAAAATATCTCAGTGAATTACAAAATTCATGAAGAACTTTTTTTTAAATGTGAAACATTTATTAAACCTATGTTTCCAGAATAAATCATTTTGTTAGAGTCTCCCACCTAGAGCCACAAGTGTATTTGGCACAATGAGTCAATGAATTTAAGTTTAAAAATCTTATGGTTCCACTATAAAAATGTAAGCATACTAGTTTACTATATTATGAGTAATTGGTTGATATTACCTTTTCTGAGTGATACATACATTTAAGATAAATCTTTATTTAAATTTGTTTTTACATATAAATGAAAGCAAAACCAAGTATTATTATTTTGGTAGATTTAGATTAATATTATAATACTGACCAAGAATGTGTAACATTTTCTTTTTGGGGGATTACTTGACACTCGACAGAGGAGGGGGAAGAGGAAAAGGAAGGGGAAGGGGAAAGAAAAGGAGGAGGAGAAGGGGAAGGGGAAGCAGAAAGAGAAAGAGGAGGAGGAGGAGCTTGTTTTCCAGATTTCAACTTTTGACTGTAAATATACTTTGTAAATATACTGGAGAATCCACACTGATAGTTCCATAAATTTTCTATTATTTATTTTGTAATTGCACCTAAATCACAATAACTTGTCTAACTGCTGCCAGACCATATAAAATATATCTTTTACTATTCAATGCAGTCTGTTTTCATGGCCACTATAAACTAAAGGACATGTTTAAAAGATACAATAGGCTTCTGTGTACAGGGAAGGAGTCTTTGTTTTCTTGTAGAATAAATTGTTTTCCCACATAATAGCTTCCACTGTATGCATTTTCTATGTCCCTGGTCCTTTTGTGTTGCTGGCTGAACATTCAAACCAAGAGCCATAATTCTTAAGTTGACCTTATTCAATATTAAAGGATCACTGACATAGAAAAATGACCCGAAGAACCTGAATGAGAGATTTCTAACAATGTATGTTCCCATTCCTCACCATCACAAATGATTACATCTTCAGCAACGATGTGCAATTATACATTCTGGTGTCTGTTGTATTGTTTGGTACAACCCCCATGTATCCATGTGGCTCCTTCTCACCAATGAAATCCATTCTAATATTCCTGGTTGTAGCAACAGCAAACCATCAGAAGGTTATCCCTAGTTGTTTCTGCTTCTGGAAGTTCTGCTGAAGAGCATTTCTACTTCCTGGTTTTTTGTTTTGTTTTGGTTTTGGTTTTTTGCTACAGCAGATTTTCCCCTAAGAGTTGCATTCCTCACAGTGACACGAGAGGATGTAGCGGTAGGTGGCAGTAAGTCTCATTCCACCAGAACAGCGCAAACGCATAGCCTTCAGTTTAGAAGTCTGTGGCCGGCAGCAATGACATGTGGATCGGAAAGGCTGTTTCAGAACTGTGCTGAAGGACACCATTGGCTCTGAGCGTGATATCTGAGTGCACTGTCCCTCACAGCGAGCCAGCAGCACCATCTGTAAAGAAGGGAGACCAAAAGATCAGAAAAGAAGAGTTAGCCCTAAAGAGTGCAACATATAATACAAGTAGAAAATGTGGGGCTCAGAACTGTATGATTCTTACATCCCAATTCATAAACTGGTGAAGTCTTATATATGTTGTTGAGCCATTTTAAAGTCTGTATAAAACTTACAGTAATCCTCCTTGCACATATAAATAGCCATATCCTAAATGTTATATCATGGACACTGCATATTGTATTAACTATATAAGCATCTGCATGGTATATCAATATTTTCAGTGTATTTTTAATCACTCCCATTCAATTTAATAAAAAGACATTTCTTTCAAAAGAAGAACAAAGCTGATGGAGTTCTCACCATGTATACTGTATATAGTATATATTGAAAGGTGTGTGTGTCCTGACTTTTCACATTTAATTTATGAAGGGAAATTTATGAGGAACTGTCTGGAAGGGGTTTTTTTTTTCTTTCTAATCAGGATTCATGGGCAACCAGAGAGACTTCAGAATGATGGAACAGCATGCCACAAAGAGAAACTCAACAAAATCTCACAACTATAAAATTTTACACCATGTACCACCTAAAGAAAGGGGAATCATGAGATCACGCTGTAAAATAACCTAACTAAAATGCTGAATATTGCAAAAATTAAGTATTAAAAATGGTGCATTTTGATCAGATACATAATCTGTCACTTCATAGAATACAATTTAATACAAATTCAGATTCTAAATTCTAATACAAATTCAGATTCTAGACTAGTATTGTCGCTGGCCTTGTAGTCAAGGTTTATGTTTGGGTGAAATAATAACAACGAAGAGTTCCTTTATTAAGGAACTTAATAAACACTTAAAGTAAGTAAATTACAGCAGTTGAACCCACTACATCAGGGATGTCAAATTAGATTTCATTGAGGGCCACATCAGGGTTGTGTTTGACCTCGGAGGGCCGGGATGGGCATGGCCAGGGTGGGAATGGCCAGCATGATGTTACTCATTTCTGCCAGAGAAACTGTGACAGCCTCCTGCAACCCTCTGCCAGCGAAAGCAAAGCTCGGGGGACGCGAGCGGCCCTCACGAGCTCCATTTTCAGCTGGGACAGTCATCTGCAACCCTCTGCCAGTGAAAACAGAGCTTGGGGGGTTCATACGCAGCCCTTGTAAGCTCCTTTTTCAGCTGGGACAGCCTTAGTGCAACCCTCTGCCAGTAAAAATGGAACTCAGGAGGGCTGCATGCAGCCCTTGTGAGCTCTGTTTTCACTGGCAGAGGCACCTTGGGCAAGTCCTTAGCTGTTTCTAGGGTGGCCCTGCAGGCCAAATCTAACCAGATCTAAGCAGGTCTTGAGTTTGACACCCCTTCCCTACATTATTTAGGAATTCACTAAATTTGTCTAAATTTTCAGCCATCTGTTTATGCTATGGAACAAAATAAGACCATATATGAAGTACAATTGTGCATTGGTGAACATGTAATTGATAAATTGAAATTTGAAACAGAGGAAAAACAGGTTAAATAATGTATCATAAGGTAGGCTATGAATTTTAGTTTTAATATACAGATAGACTAAAGGGAAAATATATGATTGAAAGGGTTGAAATTTAGGCTGTTATAATCTTAAAGAGATTTTTTGTAAAATGATGTACTGTTGAGATATATCACGAGAGAAATTGTCTAAAATGTATAATAGCACTTCAAATTCAAATTGGAAATGCGAACAACAAGGGACATTTTATCATGTTTAGTGGACATGTAAGAAAGCTAGAAAGTTTTGGATTCAAATACACATGTTGATGCAGAGCATTTTAAAGATATACAACTGAGAACAGAAGTCTTTCTTTTGGGACTGATGGAGAAACTGCTGGAAAAAGTCAGGGAACATTGCTTTTGTATGTGATAACTGCAGAGATTATTGTATGCACAAACATGGAAAAATTGTCCACAATGGAGGAATGGTTGTTGAAGATGATGGAAATTTCTGAGATGACTAAATTGCTTTTTTAATTTAGAGAAAAGATAATATCTATGTTTATTGTTGACTGAAAATCCTTTATGGATTTTTGTGTAGAGCAGAAATAAAAAGTTTGGTTAAACTACTAAAAACCAGGGAACTGTGAGTTCTAGTCCCTCTTTAGGCACAAAAGCTGGCTGGGTGATTTTGCGCCTCTCATTCAGCCCAACTCACCTCACAGAGGGGTTGTTGTGGGGAAGGAGGAAGGAATATTAGTTATGTTTGCCACCTTGAGTTGTTTATAAAAATGATAAAGGCAGGATATAAATAAAAACAAATAAATAAATAAATAATGGTTTTATGATTACAGGATAGATTATGGAAAGAACTCTCTCCTAGTATATGAACTGAAGTTGATTGAAATGTTAGTTCAGCTTCTTTCTCTAAAATGAAGTGGACAGAAGCATGCATCTTTACATCACATCAAGTAATAAAAGATCATTTTCTGATGATCTTGCATAATATCAAAACATCTCTGGAATTAACCTAATTTTATAAGCAATTATGTATTGATATTAAGCTAATATTTGGTTTTAGAAAATGTAATTGTCCTTCCTTACAAGTTTGGTAGTGCCTGTAATAATTCCACGTAGCTTGAGAAGTTTCCAGCAACACTTACCTTTGAGCTGCATTTGTATAAAGGATGGCTGATAGAATCAACATAGTGATGCCTCATACATCGCCCTGGGTCCGTATCAATCATAAAGGTACTATCCTTTTTACTGCCTGTATCTCCTGTTATTACCAGAAGGGACAGCATGGAAATTGAAGCCGCAATGACATGATTTCCCATCCTTAGTGAATGTCTTAGGAGTACCAGTAGAGGGAGATAGAGTATCAGAAGCCCTCTAAAGACTGAGGCCCAGTCTTTTGCCAAGAAAGCAGAGGGTCTGTTTTAAGTCTCCAGGTTGTCATTGCCGGTTTGGGGTTAGACATTGGCTGAGGTTATAATCCATCAAAACATCTCCTTCATAGCTGGAATAAAAATAAATAAGTTACACTCCTGGAAAACAGCACAATGGCCTCAAGAGGCATAAATTACAATGGAGCTCAAAGTGCTGATGTGGTCCAAGAAACACTTATGGAGTAACCATTGTCCCAAATTAAATATAATGAAAATAAGGGTCAAACCTTGCCAAGCTTAAGGCCTCTTCTATTGACATTATAGTGGAGAGGATTTTAACTTTTAATCTTGAAATGTGGGTGATGAAATCTCTCCACTGGGATCCAACTTAATGAAAATTAGCAAGGTATTTGTGGTTTCTAAATGTAAATGCCTGTATATCCACATGTCATAATAAAAGGCCTATTATAGGGGTTTAGATCAAGACAGTGTTTCATCAGAGTTGCTGGTTTGGCTTCAAGAGGAAGAGAAATTGGATTCTTCCCTTTCCTGGGTGGGTTGCCTTGTCATTACAAAAGCGAGTTCCTCAGTCATATATTTGTGTCTACAAATATACAACCCACTCATGCTTGTGCGCATTAAAATGTACTGAATGAGACTTATGGAATTAGTGGATGTAATACTGTTTGCAAGGTAAAAATAGATTTTACATCTGCACATGCAAATAGGCTACAGATGTCTGTATGTGAACACACTCATGATAGATGTGCTCCATTAAATAGGAAATACATGTATGAAAAAAAGAATACCTATAAGGAGGATAGAGCTATAAACAAAGTTTTTAAAAAATCATTCATAAAGGCACAATCTGATAAAAATCTTGATCCTAAATGTAAATATGACTCTGTTATTAGCAGATTTTATTTTCATATGCACCTATGAGAAAATTAGTTTTTCCACCTGAGAGAAAAGAACAGCTATTATTAATTAACTCTCTTAATTTATTCAAATACAGTCAAATAATTATGTAAACACATCAGGCCTTAAAATACTAATTATTGAAATACTCAATAAAAGTAGCTGCTAATTTAAAAGAACCATAAAACTCATTCCAAATTGCTTTAAAACAAGAATGCAATAGTTAAAATATAAATGCTGAAAATCTATAAAATGATGGCGCTATAAATATAAATGATTTCAAGTTGCAAAATTGATTTTTGAAAGTCTGAAAGCTGAAAAGATATATACGTTATCTTTATTCATACAGAGATAACTGTAAATGTTTATCCAGTGATATATATGTAGACATGAGCCACTTGATAAATCAACAGGAACTCTGATCTTGCAGCTACTATTCAACTACTAAACTTATTATGTTCATTTCCATTAGCATATAAGAGCTGTCATTTCTTGCTGTCCAGGCAACCATCAAGAAAAGAGACTTTCCATAGTGACGTAATTATTCAAGGACAGAGCTACATCCTCTATTCCATCTGCTTGGTATCTCCCCCACATTCTTTATCTCCATCAAGGAAGGCAATATGAAGAGTTAAGTGATTCATTTTCTTTCCAACAGAAATCTAGAAGTTGGACACTCCAGTAGGAAGGGAAAAAAGTACATAAATTCTGTTCACAAAGTTAATTTGTCTGTGAACATGAGATCAGTTCTTAGAAATAATATGGTTTAGTATACAAACTGACGTACAGGGAAAAATAAGGCACCTTCACAGTCTTCACCAAAGCCATTCCAGAAATGCTATTGTATTTGGGTAAATTAAACAGTGTTTCTTTCAGCCAACTGCACAATACTGAACTAGCAATTCACCTTATCCTCATCCTTAGCTTGCTGAGCATTTTCGTAGTAATTTGTTTTCAAACTGTTCTCATGAGAGAGAAAGCTGCAAAGCCATCTTTCCACTAAACTGAAAAAGCTTGGGGAAGTGTTGTGTGGCACCAGGAAACCATCAAGAAGTAAAAACCCAAGCTGCAGCATTACCCTTGCAGACATCCTACTCAACGGTTGGGTCATAATTAAATTGGCTCAGTAAAGTGTTGGGAATGCAGGATGTCAGCAACTTAGTGAAAGCTAATGCTATGCCAATTTTGTACCCCATCATCCCTACTTCTCATTCAGTTTGATGGGAAAACTATGCCACTACTGCTACCAAGAAAAAGAACATGTTATTCTAGCACTTCTGCTCCTTATGAGATGACTGAAGAGACTCTTCTGTCTTATTGTACCCTCACTATAGCACTCTGCTGCTTTCGTGGCTTCCCACACCTTAATTAAATCCCATCAAAACATATATGGGGGAATTTTGCCTGTGGGTGTGTCCCCCCCCCCCCGAATCATGGAAAACCAGGAAGGCAGCAAAGTGTGGAGAGATAAGAAAGAAAAAGGCAATAGCAGCAGCTTCTATCATTTCTGAAACTTTTTCAAAAGCTATTTTAAAATGTTCTAAATAATTAAGTAGAGAAAGTGTCAAACCAAAGAATATTGAACAGAACTGATTGTACTTTCACTGAAAAAATACTGCTACTCCCTATTTGAAAATTTGGGCTTCAAATTGGCTGTTTCCTTGAATTAATGGAAAGATTGATCAATGTTACTTCATGAATGTTTAATAAGATTTAATATATAGCAATAGCAACAGCACTTAGACTTATATACCACTCCATATTGCTTTATAGCACTCTCTGTGTTGGCATATTGCCCCCAACAATCTGGTCTTCATTTTACCGACCTTGGAAGGATGGAATGCTGAGTCAACCTTGAGTCAGTCAGGATTGAACTCCAGGCTGTGGGCAGAGCATTCTAACCACTGTGCCACCAAGACTCCCAGGATATATGCTGTCACCATGTATTATAATAATTTTCCTTTCTCTTTTTATATATTGTTTTGTATTGTGTGGTAACATTTCTTGTTTTCATTTTGTATATTACAATAGTAGTGAAAATAATGGGATGTGGCAGTATCTGGAGACAGCAGAAGAGAAGAGAAAGAACTGGAAAAGATAACAAAATATAAAGACCTGCAAATAGAAATAGAACTGTGGCAAAAGAAATCAAAGGTAGTACCAGTAATAATAGATGCCTTTGCTGCAATCCCAAAACAATTGGAGCACCACTTGAATACCATTGACATTGACAAATTCACATCAGTCAATTGCAAAAGGCAGCTTTACTTGGAACAGCTTACATCCTTTCATGATATATGTAACACCGTCAAACATCCATATCTGCCTATCCCAGGTCCTTAGGAAGGACTTGGTAGGCAGACAAAAATACCAAATTCAGTCTGAACATCTGGCTGACTGTGTGATGAATCATCCTAATAATAATGCAGCCCAATGATGATCTTTGCAAAAGCAATCATTAGGCTCCCGTAGGCCTCCTTCTGCAGTCTTTTGTTACATGCCCAAAAGACCCACAATCTCCAGCTAAATGACAAACAACTATTACCAATATATGGTTTTCTTTGAAGTCTGGTTTAATTACTTTATGTACTCCTCTATGATCATATAGCTGTATATTGATAGGCCTCCATTATAAATTGACACACATACATAATATAAACATGTAGATACCAGGAAAGGGGGCATATGCCTCACAGGCATCCTCTTACTTCCCCCTTGCAAGTATAGAGGGTTAATTGTCCTATTAGGAATCACTGTCTCACATATTTAAAACATGCTTCAAAAATATTGAACAAGAAAGACATTTGAGCAATGAGTAACTCTTGGAACTGTTTTCTTTATTATATAATTTTCCTGTTTTTATATATATATATATATTCTGAAAGTCATATTATGTTATTAAGGCTAATATATGCTTGGGTTTGTTTGGGTTTTTTGTTTAATTAATTTAATGAAACTAATTTTTAAAATGAAATGGACTTATTTATCTATTACTAAGATAGTCTTTTGCCCCTTATAATTTTACTGCTGATGTTATTTTTATTGAACAAGTGGTAGGTACATTGGGATATGATGGTTTTGCATATAATGGAAGACTGGAAACTCACTTCAACCTACAAAAATAGTGAATGTCCTCTTCCATCATTTCTATTTGGGACAATGAAGATTACACAATCATTCTGGCTGTACAGTTTCTCCAAGTTGTCCTTTTAGAGCCCAACTGTTTACCTGTAGATTCAAAAGGGAGATGCAACAAACTTAATAAATATTTGATGTATATTAACTGTAGAAATGGCTTTGATTCTACCACAGACTTGTAACACAATAAAATGTTTTTAGAAGAGTGAATTTTGGTTTCTCATCAAATCCCAACTCAATAAACAATTTGGCAGAGAATGCTGGCTCCAAGATTACTAAATTCAGTTTTTCCTTTACTTCATTATTATATCTATGATATTACATTTTCCTTTCTTGCAAATAATTTCAGGGATACATAAAACACCTAAATATGAGGCATGAGTTAGAAATTGAAATTGACACTCAGATTTATTTGGCATACATATGATTGTAGAGACTCCTAATTTATTTTTCTTCCTCCATAGCACAACATGTTTTTTCAATGCTGTTTTAGAGCATGAAAGAAACTTTCCATAAATGCATGTTGCTTTTGACATCACTTATTTCTGCTTGAATCAGAACAGGCAGCCCACTTTTGCCTGCCAAATATGAATGGCAGGAAATTTTGAAGTCATGCAGGTGTCTCTCCCTGTAAGGATCTGTTAAGGCCCTTATCAAGAAAGGAAACTAATCCAGAGAGTCTGCTGTGCAAAGCAACTCATGTTTTCCTGCTGAGCTCCTACATTTGGGTCAATTGAATCCATGCACACATTGCCATAACTACATGTAATTATTTCTGCATGAAGCCAAAAGGCCTATATTCAGGGGTGAAATGCTATTGGTTCGGACTGGTTCGGCCGAACTGGAGCAATGGCGGCAGTTGTTTCGGAGAGCCGGTAGCAACGGCAAGCTAAGACTCCGCCCACCCACCTGGTCGTTGTTACTTCCTGGTTTTAACCAGGAAGTAACCTGTTTTTTACCCTCTGTGCATGAGCAGAAGGGTTTGCGCATGTGCAGAGGGTCCGCGCGTGACGCGTGGCCCGTGCACTTCTGAACTGGTAGGGAAGGTAAGTATATTTCACCCCTGGCTATATTGCAGCCAAAACAGTCCTTGAAGGGACAATTCAGTCACAAGAGTACATGTAGACCCAGAAATACATAAGTCATCATATATCTATACACATACATGGAATACACATATACCTGAAGAACATCCACCCCTATTCTATATATCTCCTACATAGTCACATACATACAGCTTCACATGTTACTCAGGAGTAGTGATTTTTGAGGGCAAGTATATCCTTCTACCAAAATCCAAAATTAAATTCATGATAAAATGCAACCCTTATGAATAACAAAGACTCCACATAGTCATTGAATTGCTGCAACATACAAGAGAATCCCACCTTTCATTTATTTACACTTTATCAGCCTGCAATAGACACAATAGGAGCCAGATGAATCTTCATATATTTCCCATGATTGCCTTTTGGAAAAGAGCAAAAGGCATACCAAATAGATTTTGTCCTTTGTCACTAAATAAAAATTACATTACATGTTTATTTCTCTCTCCCTTTTCTTTTTCTTTTTTCCTTATTGAAGCATTTGTGTATCGCTGATGATTGGTTGGGCAATGATTTGAGCACATTTGAAACTCATTTTATACCCGATTGTAGAATGCCCAATGAAATTATAAAGCAGCTGTGGTTCATTCAGAGGTAAAGAGGAGAAAATAGAGGCAATATAAAGTATACTTCCAAACAAATAACAAAGGGTCACTCCCCACTCTGACACAATTTTGTATGGACACCAAATTCAACATTTGGAGTCTGATGTTCTCTGATGGAGATGCATGGAAAACTGGCTACAATATACCCCAAATTGCTTAAAGCCTGTTGAACATTTGGCCTACAATTTATGAACACTAATCTAGGATTGTATAAACAATATGCTGTTTAAGCATGGAATCTGATCAAATTGTCTACAATTGAAGGGTGGGTCTTTTGGCTTATGTCTTTATGCTGTCCTGTCATGGCTGTTGAGTATTCCAACATAAAGATGGAATCCACCTGCAATCCTTTCTTCAGGAAGTTTGGGGGGGGAGAGTATTTTCCTTGAAGCCAGCATTTTACCTGAAGCCATTTTGCTAAATTCTAGTGAACAATTGCTAGGCCTGGGCTCAGGGGCTATGGTTTCATCTTCATGAGGTACTTTGGGATAAACTATGTCTTGCTGATGATTCACTTCACATCTTTCATAACTCCTCCTAGTTATCTCCATAGTGTCAAATAGTGTCAAATGTGGTATCTTAATTTGATACTTGTTACTAGTAAACTTATTTTGTCTCTCTTCATGGTCAAAAAGAAAGACTTGGGACACCCAAATGTCAAATCCCATTTTAAACTTATCAATAGATTTTGTCCTTCAGAATACAGTTGTTTTGAAGATAGAAAATGAATGTGTAGCAGAAAGAATGGATCTAGGTCCTGAATCTTTGTAGAAAGGATAAGATCAAAACATTTAGAATATCAGAATCATCCTTCTCATCTTTTCTACTACCTTCTCTTATTGGTGGTATTATGATTATATTACTTTGTTGTTTGTATGTACATTAATGCAGTTTATGCATTGGAACAAATTCCTTGTGTATCCAATCACACTTGGATAGTTATTCTACCCTTCTCTATTCCTAAAATGGAGGAACTAAGAGAAGACAGAAAAATTTCTTTGCAAATCCTGTTAGGAATCAAGGAAGCTGCTTGTCCTCTACTAAGTCAGACCACAAGCCCTTGTCCAGCATAGTTTAGTGTTGTGGGAATTTAGATGGGGAGTCTCCATATCAGGTTGGCAATGCCAGAGATTCAACCTGGAGGTTTTTGCAGCAAAGCATGAACTCCACCATTTTGCTGAAGTCATATACCAAATGAGTGAGGTGAGGAGGTGGGACTTAGACATACAACTACAACAGGAACTGGTTTATATTTTAAGGTCTGGGCATTTGGAAAATCTCTTCTGCCTCAGTCTATTGGTCAAACTTCCTTACTGAGAGGCTGCCATCAGCTGTGCAGAGGTTTAAACTAGAGTACATGGGATCATCCATTGTACTACAGTCTTTATTCATGGAGCAATGGGAAAAAAATAAACATGTGGGAGATATAGGTTCCAAGTTTTCACATATTTCTTTAGATTTTTTTTTTATCCTGCCTTCATTATTTTACAAGTAATGCAAGTATACATGACACTCCTTCCTCCCCCTGTTTTTGCCACAACAACCCTGTGAAATGGGTTGGGCTGACAAAGAGTGACTGGTTCAAAGTCACTCAGCTGGTGTTTTTTGGCATATTTGATATGTACATAAGCCACATGGAAATGCCAATGGCAGCATGTGCTTCTATTGGAGACTCAGATTAGGGGACTCCTCTAGTATGTAGATTCTGCAATAACTATTGTGTGCCTATACATTTTCTAGAAATCAGTGCTAGTCAGCTAAAGTATGCCCTTATCTTATCAGATTTCAATCAGTTACTGAAGCCATGAAAAAAAATCTGTGCAAGATTGTACAAATTATGATCTACCACAAGTTTCATGATAAGTATTGTATAGACGTACAATATAAGGAGTAGGGAATGGTACACTCAAGATTTGTTTGGACCCTTTCCTGGAAATCCCCCTCCTGCTCATTGGGTTGAAGCATGCTATAATATGGTCCTTAAGGGTACTATTAATTAGACCCTGGGATGCCCCTAGAAAACACAGTACTTTTTCATTGAAAACCCCATACTGCTAATAATGGGATGCGATGTTTACTAGTGGTCCTAGACATAGCTAAAACCAGCTTTTCAAAAAACAAAATCGTAGCCATCTGAGTCTACAATTCCCAGGGGAATGCCCAACCTATATAACTCTGTCTTATGTCTAATAAGCTTGAAGTTTCAATATCAGGGCTTACAAGTATATCCAATATGGATATAATCAACATTATCATACGACTGACAAATACTTATATGTGAGTATCAGAGCTTTATCTTCTACAATCTGAAAACAGAACATAACTTCTGAAGGCTGGATGTCTTTTAAATTTTGGTGAATAAAGTTTGGCTTTCCTACACCTTCAACTTTGCTATTATAAAATGCTAAAATGTTATTATTTTAAATTCTAATCTGATTCACAAAGCAGCTTTAAATTCTAACTACATGAGGGAGTGACATTCTGCTAGAATTTATAATTTTTACAAAATGAAGAATTAGTATTTCTTTGATGCTTTAGATAGAAAAACCTGAACCCAGGGGTTGTTCCCCCCACCACCACTGTGTAAAGATTAATCAAGACGAATCTGCCTTCATGGGTGAGATACACTGCAGAGAATTGAGTTTCCTAATCACATCCAATTGTTCCCATAGCCTTCAGCCTTTCCCCTTTGGTTAACAATCAGCCTACATAAAAAAGAGTTCTAGCAATTCACAAGATTGATCACCATTTGGTAACATGTGAACTGGGAAGAGTGGTGGAAACCCTCTCTACTGAAGAAAACAGCAACTCTCATTTCCCCACTTTCTGTTCGCTAGCCAGACATGTTGCCAAAAAAATCTTTGAACAGGCTTCTAGGTAACTGGAAACTGACTAATTTTAATTAAAATTTAGAAGCTTCTAGAACAATTAAGAAATATTGATATTACTGAACAACTCTTTTAAAATGTGGAACCAATTTTTTTAAAAGAAGCAGGACTGTGATAATCAATACACACAGACTAGAGGAAGTGAACGTATATTCAATATAAAATCTTCCTTTTTAAATTAAAATCAAGGATAAAAAGAGAAAAATTCCCATTTGAAAATATTTCCTGATACAAATTCTGTGAATCCTAACTATCAAAAGTACAACCATTAACATCTGCATTGCCAAGAGCAAACATCCCAATCTAATTCATGTTCAATTAATACCTCCATAATCCCCAACTCATTGTGGAGAACATTTGATTGGAAATGCAGGCCTAGTGGGAAGGACTACTTTGATAACATAGGAGGAAAGATATAGATGATGATGATGATGATGTTCGTCCATCATTTTCGAAGAGGACATCTAACAAGTTGTGGGCTGTCCTGCATG